ATTTCTTAGTTCAAATGAGATTAGTGTGGTTCCTCTACTGCCTAATGAAATTTTGTCAGAAATTCATAATATATAAGAAAATATAAACAAGTCTTCCCGTCATACAATAGAAATAGAAAAATTTTGTTGAGGATATTTCCTAAAATCTTTGATTCTTTCAAAGATAAAACTACAATTTGTTTTAAGCATATACGTATATACGTATAAGTATATAATACTTATATGCATATACTTATACTTACTTATATTGTATTATATTGTCAGCTATCCTTTCGACAAATATTACTTAAAATTTCATCACTTCACTCTTAAGTAATACTTCATGCTGTTATTTAAAGACTATGTGAACCTTATCATAATATTGTGAGCGACGATCAGCTTTACCCTCAATAGCGCGGTCGATTTTGAGAAACGGACTCGCTTATTTATTATCGGAACACTTGGCATGAATTAACATATACACAAACTCACACACACACACACACACACACAAACAGAGATTCACTAAAAACAGGGCCAGACCCGAGTCAACAGAACGCACGTGGGGCAATCGTTTAAGGACAGGGGCGGGGTTACGCGGGGGGGCTCGATGCGGAAAGGTTTTGTTAGAGCTTCGATAAGCGTTGCACAAAAGGTTAAATAGCAGAACTGTCGAGTGTAGTTAAACCATCAAATTTACTGCCAGCCGCACGGTCTGCCATGCAGCTGACTGTCTGGTCGGGCTGATCCGGTTGTCGAATGAGACGTTGCGACGTCGCAAGGGAGACGTGGACGGTGACGGGGGACGGGGGACGGGGGATGAGACGGGGTTCTGTGGGGCCTGCAAGAAGGCCAGACCCATTTTTTTTTTCCAAAGACGCAATTTATACAGAGCCGAGTGGTGGGAAACGGAAACAATGAAACCGATTGTCATCGGTAGATAGTAGACGCAGTCCAGAAGCTTGTGATGCGATTGCCCCATAAGTTGCCATGCATAATTATCACGCGAGCATAATCAAAATTTTGTGGATTGCACAGGCGAAGGCTGAGGCCAAGGCGGGCAGGAGTCGTGGCAGGGCAACTTTGAAAGCCGACACAACTGTGTTTGCACACCACTGAGAGCGGCTAGGTGGGCTTCGGTCTGTACCCCTCAGATGGGTATCGCAACTTGCAATGGCTGTACAACAAGGTGTCAAACGCCACTGACAAATGAAAGTGAAATTCATGCAGGGACACCTGGACACACACGCTGCGCCAGCACATTAAGTATATCTATATAAATGTGTATATACATTTAGGTAGCGCCAGTCTCCAAATTTCTGACCATTGTCTCAGAGCTCAGAGCTGGGGGGTCTCTCTGTCCATCTCTCTGTCTGTCTGCCTGTCTGTTTGTCTGTCAAGTTGACATGTAAATCGTTAGAACGTGCTGGATTGATTGTTCTCACTTTAACGCGTTTATTGATTATCGCATGGCCTGCCCTTACCTACCCATCAAAGTGCGGCGGCGCTGATCATTTGTCAGCCGACTCCTGCTCGATAAACTTGTGTGATTTGTAATTGTAAATGCGCGAGTTTGTCAACTGGGCTCATTGTTGTCTCATTATAATTTTCTAGCTGCATTTCCCTCGAAATTCACTATTTTCATGTTTTGTTTTTTATATTTTCTGTAAACGTCCGGCTTGTTAATGTGGGCACATTATGTTAACAATTCAAAGGATTGGCAATTTCTACGAAGGACTCTTTGGATTTCTCTGGGTTTTCCCACGAATCAAATTTGTTTTTTTCTCTTTTTTCATGGGAATAGAGTATTCAGTAATTAATCTAAGCGACACTTCAAGGAAGACAATTCAAATTTAATGAAGTAAATTTTAAGTTATTTGCATATGAACATATTCCAAGTTTTATTTGGCCAGCGATAATTTCAATTCGATTTGAAGCCACCTGCAAAAATATTTTGCAAACAGCGATGGGGCAGCAGCTGCTGTTATGCAATTTGTGTGCGATCTATTGAAATGCATCTGCATAACAAGAACGAGAGCAAATCGGAAAGGAACTCATTTACCTACCTTTGTGCACATGCCAAAAATAAAAGAAGCGAAGCAAACAATTGCGGTTGCATTGCCCTGGCGGGGGCTTATGCCATATGAAATCCGACAAATGCAAAATCAAAATCAAAAGGCAGCCCAGGTACAACAAAGGACTCGGCTCAGGTACCGTGCCAAGGATGCCTTCGTGGATGATGGCGGCATGCCGCCAAAAATCTCGCAAGGCGCTGGCGCGACTGCCGAAGCTGATGATGATGATGATGATGCTGATGCTGATCGTGGTGGTGGTGGTGCACTATTGTTTGTCACATGCTTCTCTCCTCGCCTCTGCTCGCTCTGGCTGTGATTATTTTGATGACGATCCTGATGTTTTGTTCCTTTTTGCTTGAATTATGCTCGGTGTGCCCATTGTGCGTCTGCAGATGCAAGTCAACGTCCGAGCACAGCGCTCTCCCTCCTCTCGCTCTCTCTCTCTCTCTCTCTCTCTCTCTCTCACTCGCCCTGTGGCTGTGCAAACAGATGCACGTCTTGCCAAAAAAAACTGTAGAAATCCCTGGCCAAGACGCTGACGAGACGCGCCAAAGGAGCAGCTGTCAATGCCAAGCCACCAACGCGCCAGCCAACACCCTCAACAGCATTAGCCGAGCATCTACATCGGCCTCAGCATCCGACTCGGCCCGGTTGACAGAAACTGATTTGTGCTGCCTGCCCGAGCGGCGCAGATGCAATCCTTGTGCCGCTTCCTTGCTATCCCGTTTGCATTGTTGGGCCCGTCCCGACCGGTGTAATGAGTTTTTTGCTTTAACGTACTTTTGCTTTTGTTTTGGGTATTTCTGTTTTCCATCTAGCTCTGATTTGGCATTAGGTCCTGCTGCAGCCGACGAAAGGTGTTAAAAATTCTGTTAATAGGGGCGTAATACTCTGTTTATAGTAACTTTGCGATTGCATCAGCTGCGGTTTGCTAGATTCATTAATGTAGGCGAGACTCTGAAGAAGTGGTTTCAGGGTTTTTGATTAAAATCTGTGAAGACTAAATATACAGTTATACTGCAGCTGTATTTTTTTTTGAAACTGGTTTGGCTTTAAGTAGGATTGTAAGCTTTGCTAAATTATCTTTTCTTAAATACATTATTTATATTAAATTTATGGCGTACTCATAGTATCATTTATTTGATTATAAGTAATTTGATGTTTCTTTTAAATTACATTTTTATTCTTTTATTTTAAAGTTAGCTCAAGAAAACGTGTGATTAATAATCGTTTCATATAAGAAATTGTGGCTATACTGCAGATTCTTCCGCATCATTTATTTTTTATTTTTTTTTTTAACATGAAGCTGCTAGCAATATTATTGTTACGATATCCGAAACGATTTTTCTCGTTGCTAGCCAATTTGCTAATAACTTCCTATTCTTGAGTAACTTCCCATATAAATTTGAATATAATTGTTCTAAAAATTATGCCTTTTACTTATTTGTACTATTCATTTTTCTTCATCGATATACAAATCTTTTATCTTAGGCGTAAAATAAGTTTTTCTTCCTTTTTCCCTAAGTCATAATCACCGCAACATAATTATAAAATATTTATACACTTCATTTGGGAGACACGTTTAATAGGCTAAACAGCACGCTTAGTCGGAGCCGGAGCAGGATATGCCATACAAAGTCAGCTTACTAAAAAAAAAAAGAGATAAAGAAGAAGCTGTGGAATCAGGAGACGGGCGAGCTCGATTTAAGGACGGCGTTGACGTACAATGCGCATAATGCGGACGCATTGACAGGATAACGAAGCGTGAATAGGCACGTAACCTGCGCGAATGCGTCGCGGCAGCGGGAGTCAAGGCAGCTGGCAGGTGACAGGTCGCACAGCGCACAGGGGAGAGAAGCTTCTTTGGGGGTTGGCGTCCTTTGCGGGGCCATTCACAATTCACAATTTGGCGAGAACAATGGATCACAGGTAGCAGCCAAAACATTAAGCGGCACCCGCACATAATCGCAGACAAACAGTCAGGCGGACAGGCGGACAGACGGACGGACAGACAGCTCGATGCGGCCAGGTGATCCAACTTTTTGATTTCTTCTGGCTAAGGACATTGATACGCCGCCGGCAGCGATAGCAGAGATTCCTGGAAGCAATTCCTTTCGCTGGCTTTTCAAAACATTTACTCCAATGTGTCTGCGCAGTCGGTCGATCTTTGGCCGTCTGTCTGTCTGTCTGTCGATCTGTCCTTTATTGTGTCATGAGGTCCTAAGGCCTATTGATTGTGCAATGCACCCGGTCCTAGGCCCGTGGCAGTGATTTTCTTCCTTCTCTATTTCTTTCATGCTCATCGCACAGTTGTTGTTGGCTTCGATTTCGATTTATGGATTGAAAGATCTTTTGTCTGTGCAAAAAAAAAAATACAGAATACAGCAACAACAACAACTGGCATCAGGTCTGCAGTTGCTTTGAGGATCTGGCCTGGGGGTAGTAATCAACCATTCATTGTCAACGACATCACACATCGTATATCTTGGGCCATAGTTTGTATTCTTTGGTGGTTTCTGTTTTCTCCAGTTCCCTTCTTTCTATTTTCTTTCGCTCTTCTGCTATTTTTGGCAAAAGGTGTGCCAGTGCACCGGGCCAAGCTGCACTAACTGAGAGAGAGAGAGAGCAGCGGAGAGAATAAGGTGAGAGAACTTCATATACTATGGAAGTTTATAGTCTACAATCTAGATTAATTGAGCTTAATATCTTATATTATATGAAATTAAATTAGTTTCCAGTTTGAATTTAATACAAACAGATATTAGACTTAAAGATTTCAGTTGAAGTTTTGCTATCATATCATATCCTATTATTCTTTGGAGAGATTTCTTCATGAATATTGAGCAAACCTATACTCCTCTCTTAAGGAATTTTACTCCCTGCATCTTCTGCTCCATTTTCGCTCCATTTATTCTGTTTATCTGTCGACCTCTACTGCTCTCTCAACAATACCCAGCAATACCCTATAGAATGCATTGTGCACTGCAACAAATGCTGAGAAGACAAGGTGCAAAAATGGGACGGGCCCATTGTCTGCAAAAATAGCAAAAGAGAAGCAGAAAATACAACAGGGCCTGGAAAAACGTAGGCGCACCTGCATATATTCTAACGGCATCAGGCAAAGATCGTCGACGGGAAAAAGGGTTTTTCCGGCCGCGCTGCCTGATGAATGAAGTGCGGTTGGCGGAAACATCGCGATACACTGATCCCAGGCTAATGCTAATGAGCGGACTAGTCCCGGCCCAAATCCCAGCAGGTACTTGACAATTGCAGGACGACAAGTGCTAGGGTTTTCGAAAGGCGAACAAGACTCCTGGGTTTCTCCGCCTGATGAATGAATCGGGTTCGAGCGCGGGTTATTTCGCGGTGTCCTGCTGGCAATTCCGCGTCGAGTATTAGAATAGTGATCATTAGGTAGTTGGCTGTGGATGCCATGGTTGGTAATTGTGCGGAATAACACACGTAATAACCGAAATGGTCGGGAACGCCCGTCAGGTAGGATCGGGAGGCATCTTTGCTGGGCGAGCGAGAATTTCCGAAGTTGCGATGCGCCGTCGCTCGGACGTTGGCCAATCGTGGCTTGTTTTGCTTGAGTTTCGCTGACTGCGTAATTGGATAACCTGGGAAATTACTTTAAATCCATAGCTGATCCATATCCGGACGTTTGTTCGCGTATGTGATTGCCTGTCCACAGAGGAAAATCCATCATAGGGAAAATACAAAATGGAAATACGTTTTCCTTACTTGCCGCATCTTCCATCACACCCATGGTCCCGGCGAGAGTCGAATGCGGCGATTGGTCAGCCTCAGTCTCAGCCTGGGAATGCGATCGTATTTGGGAATTGGAATTTTAGCACTCGGAAATTTGTACTTTTTGTCATCGGTTGGGTTTATCAAAACTTTTGGGTTTGCTACATTTGCTTCGGTTTTTTCATCGGTCTTCACACATTGCCCTGGGAAACGGCGAGCAATGGGGAAAATGCGTGTGATTTGGTTTTTTTGATGGCTGGGAAATCAGTTTAGAATGTTCTATTTGGGAACTTGGCTATGCGGGCTGAACTGTTTTCCCAACCAGGAAGTCTCTAGGATGTGTGAGCCGAGCCTCTCCAGTGTTTGATCACATGTGAAAAGCGTGATGCGAGGGGATGTGGGTTCGTTGTTTATGTCGTATAATGAGGTAAGCTCAAGTCAAAGGTGGGATATATGTGTACATACACATACAGAGACGGAGACTTTTCCCAACTAGTCAAACAATCCCTGGAACTTGAGCGATAATAAGTTAGCATAAAGTGCACCCAAGAGCTAACATACTCGATGAGGCGTCGCATCGTCTATTTATATACCCATACATAGGTGCAATGTCAATTGTAATGCCGGCACAGCTCAGGTTCAATTTGCCGCCCCACGACTGAGGCACCGGCCCAGTGGCAGATGTGCCTCAAAAACTACCCCAATGCGTAGCTCGGGAATCCAATTTGACTCGTGAAAAATGCCAACGCCTAAATATAGAAACCCAATGCACGGAGCTGGCGAAACGAGGCGGTTGAAAGCGAAACTCAAATTCCGTGGATGCTAACGATACCTGCTAGAAGAGAGATTGACATGGTGCTGGGACTGGGACTGGGACTGTGCTCGGGGTTTGACGAGTTATTACAGCACGTATGTACATGTGTGCGGGGTAACAGGAGAAGCTCGAGAAAAGTCGATGAGGTCGACGAGAGAGACGCAGGGGAAGAGCACTGTAAGCGAGAAGCTGTCATAAGTTATCGAGTGCTGATCGTAGCGCCTGCCAGGGAGCTTGACACATTAACTGAGGGTGCGCCTGCGTTGGATGCTCTGAGTTCCGAAGGAACTCTCTGTCGAGTGCTGGCCCGAGAACGTAGTCAGGTAATTGTAGTCAGGTAGTGCGAGCGAGAGGGCAAGCACCGTGAGAGAGCAGCAAATGGGAAACACGCAATAAGGGTATGGGAAAAATGTCGCTGTGTGTGTGCGTGTGTCGTCGATGTTGTTGTTGTTGTTGTTGTTGCTGCTGCTGCTGCTATTGCTACCTAGCGACGTACACGTGCGCCCTGCGTCGGCACATGAGCGAGTGTGCGTGTATGAGTGTGTGAACTGAAGAAGAACCACCACCAAATGGCAGGCAGCAACAGCAGCAGCAGCAGAAGCAGCAGCAGCAGCCCCGAGCATATAAAAGAGCTCGCTCGGCCCTCGACCTGTCACAGCAACCTCATCGTTCGTTGAGTAAGCAACTCGCTCGATCTCGCATCAATCTCTCTCTCTAGTGCTACGGAACTACGCGTTACCGAAAAACGATCATATCCACAACTCAAGCATTAGCATAACATAAAACACACTCACACAATCGACGACATGGCCGCCAACTACAAGAGCTGCCCGCTGAAGAAACGCCCCATCGTCTTTGTGGAGGAGCTGCCGCAAACGGAGGCCTTGGCATTGACCAAGAGCTCACAGTTTGCCCCAGTGCAGCAGCCACAATACCAGGAGGAGCAGCCACAGGATCTGTCGCTCAAGCGCAAGGCCTGCGACTCTGAATTCGAGGATTATGAGCTGCCGGCGAAGCGTGAATACGTGCTGAATCTGTCAAAGACGCCAGTGACACCACGCCGCGCCAGCTCTCCGCTCAGCTCTGCACTGCTCTCGCCGCCCGCCGAGCCCAGCAGCCAGGATTACCAGCCCACTGATATACACATGCGTGGCCTGACCGCCGCCACTGCCGGCTACACAACGAATCCGTATCAGTCGGCCTTCGTGCTGGCCGCCGGCTGCAATCCGATCTCAGCGCTGTGGAATAGCTATCAGCCGCATCTGAATGCCGCCGCATTCCCATCGCCGGCCAGTTCATTGGCCTCGCCGCACTCGGTCTACAGCTACCAGCACATGACGCCGCCCTCGAGCCCTGGCTCGGATGCCAGCTCCGAGCCGGAGGATCTCTCGGTGCGCAACGACATTCCGCTCCCAGCACTGTTCCACCTCTTCGACGAGGCGCGCAGCAGTGCCGGCAGCCAGAGCAGCAACAGCAGCAGCAGCAGCAGCGTCGCCAACTACTCCTATGCGGCCAGCATTGGCTCCGGCTCGAGCAGCAGCAACAACAACAGCAGCTCCGGTGCCTCGGCTGCAGCCAAAAACTATCGCTACAAATGCGATAACTGCCAGAAGATGTACTCCACCTCGATGGGACTGTCCAAGCACCGCCAGTTCCACTGCCCGGCCGCCGAGTGCAACCAGGAGAAGAAGCAGCACTCGTGCGAGGAGTGCGGCAAGCTCTACACCACCGTCGGAGCGCTCAAGATGCACATCCGCACCCACACGCTGCCCTGCAAGTGCCCCATCTGCGGCAAGGCCTTCTCCCGGCCCTGGCTGCTGCAGGGCCACATTCGCACCCACACGGGCGAGAAGCCCTTCCAGTGCCCCGACTGCCCGCGCTCCTTTGCCGATCGCTCCAATCTGCGTGCCCACCAGCAGACGCACGTCGACGTCAAGAAGTACGCCTGCCAGGTGTGCCACAAGTCCTTCTCGCGCATGTCCCTGCTCAACAAGCACACCAGCTCCAATTGCACCATTACAATTGTCTAGACTGGTGTCGAGGGGAACAGGCAGCCATCAGACGCAGACTCCACACGCACACACACACACATACATTCCGCTGGCGAGGATTACACCTAACCAAACCAAACTCGTAGACAATAATATCGGCCCAACTCATAGTTAAATTAAGATCCTATCGGTTTTGGTGCTATACCCCTAGACTCTAGCTCTTAGCATACCATATTTATTTCATTTGTAGCCCATAAGTTCTTGTAAATTTGCCACGATTATCAGACAGCATTTGACCAAATTTAAGCATTTAGCTCATAGTTTTTATTGATCTTGTATTATTTATCAAACATTTTTATTACGTTTAGCGAATGTTAATGTTAAGCTCTTTTGATAGTTGTTAAGCCATCGATATATATTTTTATAAAAATAAAAATTCAAACATGACAAAAGTAATTTCCCAATTGTTTTCAATGCTAGGAAGTCCCTCTTCCTTCCGCTCCTGCGCTCATATTTCAAAATCATTGGACTCTGCTCGATATATTTGATTTCAAAATCCCCAACATTATACACTATAACAATATCGAGTTCAGCATGCTCGAAATACACCTTTCCATAGGTAAACAATGAGTGGAAGGTTCCACTTTCATTTTCAAAGGACTTCCTCTTAACCCGCCCCTAATATTCCATCAATTCGT